ACTGTTTGCTCAGTGTGCTTTTCACCTGATAGTGCTACAATAGCATCAAGTAATAAGTATTACTCTATCCGATTATGGGATGTCAAAACAGTACCAACGCTGTGTTATCGGTTTGCTACTCTCCTCATGGTGCTTCATTAGCTTCAAGCATTGAAGATAGTCCAGTCCGTTTATGGGATACTGAAACAGAAAAGTAAAAATCAAAATTAGATCATGAATTTGAAGTTAATAATGTGGTCTTCTCTCCTGATGGTGTAACATTGGCAGTTGGAGGTTATGATAAAATTATCACAATTTGGGATTTTAAGACAGGATTATAAAAAGCTAAGTTTGCAGGCCATAAAGATTTTATCTTATAAGTTTGCTTCTCTCAAGATGGTGCTACGTTAGCGTCTGCTAGTAGGGATAAGTCAATTCTAATTTGGGATGTTAAGATAGCACAGTAAAAAGCTAAATTGGAAGGTCATTCTGAAGGAGTCTTATCAATAAACTTTTCTCCTGATGGCAAAACATTAGCTTCTGGTAGTTTAGATCTTACTATCGGCTTTTGGGATGTTAAGATAGCATTATAAAACCAAAATTGGAAGGTCATGATGATTCTATCAATTCAATTTGCTTCTCTCCTGATGGTAGTATATTAGCATCCGTAGTGATGATAAGTCTATCGGTTTATGGGATGTCAAAACTGGATAATAAAAAGCCAAATTACATGGTCAGGATGCATTATTTTTGGATAATGCTTTGAATAAAATATTCTATTTAATGTAAGAAGTGAAAGATAAAAGATAAGGAATGCAGATAAAATAATGTTACAATAGAAGCTGTAATTATTATTTCACAATCAAAATAAAGCTAAGGACTTAATTCTAAAATGTTTTGTTTTAGGTTCAATTTGATGCTAATAAACTTGAGCTAATAAGTATAATCTTTCAATTTCTTGCGATTTTAAGAATACCCTCTTCTAGTGCACAATTATTGATACTGGAAATATTTGCAATTTTAAGAATTTTAATATGTTGGAAATTATATCAACTAATTTAACTATAGAGATGTAATGAAATCAGTATAAATCGTTAAATTTATCATGAAATCATATAAATTCTTCAAATAATAAAAAATTACATAAGTTCTAAGGTTAAAAATATCTCATTAGTACTTTGAACTTTTGAAACATTAAATCCGAAAGCTATCATAAAAAGTGGAGCTTGAGAACTTTTACAGAACATAAAATTAAAATTACTTAGATACCAGCTTTAATTGAAATTTTTCAAAATATAGTTACTTTTCGATTTTTAAATTCAAATCAATTTAAACTTTATTAATTTTCTTTTTTAAGGGTTTAAGTTCTTTTGGAAATTTTTCAAATTATATATAAATTAAATAATAGTGTTCTAGAAATTGCCTTCTATTTATCCTTAATGAGGAACAACATATTAATTTAAATTTATTATTCATTTATTTTTTAATAAAAGTATACAAATCATTGTAATCTTAATAACTGGATGAAATTCTTATGATTATTACATTTTAAATTTATTTCTTGGATTTCTCTTATATTCCTTTAAATAAAGCTCAAACCATTATTTAAAACACAATAAAAAAACACAAATAAATGAAACTTTATAATTTATAAGTATTTTTTACCTGTTAAGATAGAAAGAGGATTAAAGGAAACAATAATATTTAATAATTGTTTAATATCAAAAGTAATCTCAAAAATATGTTTCATAAATGTATCAGAGCATATAAAATACCAATCATTCTAAATATTGTAAACATGTTACTAAAAGATAAGCAAGGAATCAAATTTTATATTTCGAGGTATTCTTAAATAGGCTTATCAAGCAATATAATTCGATATTTTATGGATAGTAATGTAAGAATTTAAAAGTTGTGTTTTGTCAGATTTATTAATGAAAATAATTTTAAGATTGTTCTTCTATACACATTTTGAAAAGTATTATAGTTATGACCAAGAGATTTATACTTCAAAAAATAGGAAAGGAATACGCATACAAACTAATTGATAATCTGATTATAATACAAGCTTAGCCCACTGTACCTCATAGATCATCATGCCATTTTTGAGGGTTTCAAGTTTCACAACTTGGCTATTGCTGGGTTTCCCTCTAAAATAGGCTCATATTCTCTCCTTCTGATGAAATTTATTTTTAATAAAAAGTCAGGCCTATGCAATTTTGTTAATTAATTTTTTTTCATTTTATAAATCCAACTTTTTATTTTCTCTTCCTTTCTCTATGTCCTTTATTCCTTCTTAATATTCCCATCTTCTAAAATTAATCTTTCTTTTATTGTTCTATATGTTTAATTTATCTAAAGTATTTTTTCTGCATCAACTTAATTAATCATTTTACAATAGACATCTCCATAGTTCTTCTTCTCATTGCTCCTTATCTCATTTCTTTTTTCTATAAAACAATCAATTTTATTTAAACTGACCAAATCTATATTGGCGTTTTTTTTTCTTTTTATATACAATCTCATATAAGTTTCCCATTTTTTTATTTATGCCTTATTCATTATTTAATTTCTCATCTTATATTTATTTCAACCCTAAATATATAAAATTTTCAAGTCAATTATTTACCATCTTGTTTACTATAATTCATTACAAATATAAACTGTCTTCTTATGATTTAGAATTAATCGATATTTCTTTGCTATCTCATAAAGACCTTTTTAATTAAATGAGCAATAAGATTATTTATTATTATACTTGTATCATAAATACAGATTTCAATTAATCTTCTCCCAAGTATTCACAAAACTTATTTATGGGTTTTAGTCTCGAATTGAGAACTACATAGTTCCTATATTGCATT